CATCTCGCACCGTTATCATACGGAGAGCTGAGGATACCGCATTGAGGAAGTGGACCTGACCGACCACTTTCCCATCACCATCGACTGTCACCACAGCTGCATCACCTTCCCCTTGGAGTCTATCTGCATCCGAATGAACGCCGCTTGCTTCAGTGGGATCGACCGGTACAGAGTGCCTCCTCCACGTTCGAGACGAAACCTCATCATTTTCTTCCGCAGTACAGGGTTGTCGCGCATCAGCTCAGAATTCACAGTCTCCATAAAAACTATCTGAGCATTGAAACCACATTAAACCGGAGTATACCTCTGTGGGCCGGACCGCTGAGTCAATCGGCAGCTCCATGTCGTAGTGAGGATCGAATTGCTTCCACACATCGATACACTTGTTCACGACATTCTGATAATCCTTAAAAATGTCGACGCTAGGAATTGAACTCGCTACCTTTTCATCCGATTTGGTGGAGTCCTCAAAGCCTTCTAAGATGACTGCTATGACCAAATTGAGCACGACAAAGGTGATGATGCACGTGTATGAGATGAAGAACAGAAACGAGAATGGCGACCCACACTGCACAGGATGGTCGATAAGGCACTTCTCCTGTAACTGAGATCACCACACAGCTCTCCAGTACATAGTGTGATAGCAGCTGCGAACCTGTGCGTAATTGTCTGCTGTGATGTGGAAGTCGTTCACACAGGGTCGATGCAAGACGAGGCCGAAGAACTCCGAATCCTTAGCCAGACTGTGCATTATCTCATTCCAACCCTAGGGCCCAATCCATAGGAAATGTTATTGTGGCGACTCACTTCTCCAGTCATGCAACGAACAAGTGTCATAAACCCCCGGTAGAAGTTGCGGAAGTTCGCATGGTCATCATGACTACCAGAAAGCTGTGTAGCACCAAAGAGGCGGACACCGAGCACCTGAGTCGAGCAGATCGACTACCCCTGCATTAGATGCTTACTGTGAAGAGGAACAGAAGCAGTAGCAATAGTATGGCAACGTTGAAGAGCTTCGGTATGGACAGAACGAAGGCTATGAATAGCTGATTGAGACCCTTGGCGAACCGAACGAGACGAAAGAGCCTGCCGCAGTAGTAGTGACAAGGAAAGAAGGCGGCATGTTCAAGTCGTGGACCAACCTCGCAATACGGAATATCCTGATGGCGCTCATCAGCGTACCGATGGTCACAGTAGAGAGCAAGTCTACAAGTATACCAATTGCTGTAGCAACAACACATACAAAGTCGAAGCAGTTCCAGGAATCCTAAAACGCACCGTTCTCACAATCATCCCTTACAAGAGTCCCATTCCTTACATAGAAGTACCACCACCGTGTGGCATACAGCTTCAATGCAGCTTCCGCTGTGAATATGAAGGCGAAAATGTAGTTTAGCGTTGCCAATGTCGTGTTATAGGCATCCGAAGGTGGTGGGAACATCTACAACACTGTTATCTACACCACCAGGAGGAAACACTATCATCATCAACCTTACCTTCATACCAGTCACCGCTGTGTTCAGCAAGATGCATGTCATTATGAACGTCTCAAACTTGGAGCTCGTGCAGAAGAAATACATCTTCCTCCTTTTCACGGGCAAATCCTGAACAGGAAGGTGCCAACTGATACCAAAGAGATACTCACTTTGACGTGGGCGAACTCCAGGTATATCTTTTTCGTGTACAGCTGTTTCTGAAGCTCTATCCACTTCTGCTGGGTTTGCGTCAGGAAGAGGGACCTCCCCTGGGCTTTGATCTTATTAAAGTTATCGACAATAACACCGACGCAAAGATTCAGGATGAAGAGCGAACCGATCTAAGACAACGGCTCTGCATGCAAAGAAGGTAAGCTGCTTACCAGCATGAACAATACGAAAAACAGACCCCACAGTTCCGCATGATCCCGACGAGGCTGACCATAAACTTCCGTTGCATCAGTGCCAGCATACATAACGTCTACCCAACCTACAACATAGGGAATAGGTAGTTCCCATAGACAGGAAAGCTCCCCTACCTTCTGTGGTTGAGATCTCGAAAAGAGTCATCATAGACACTGCGATGTTATCAAAATGTTGGTGCAGATTCAACCTGAATCGGTTAGCCGTTAAACCCCATTCCAGGCGTTAAATAAATCTACTATAGTTCCAATGATAACCTGCTATGGTAAGGCAATATACGATCTTCCGCGTCCCTCACAATCATTATCGAGCAACCCCGACGTCACAAGAGAAGCGTCTTCAAGCTAGTCTGTGTATGGCTTACCATTGTCCACCCTGTTCCACACAGTTAGCAGCATCCTTGATAACTGCCTTGCAAAACTGCGGGCATTCACAAGCTGAAGTGCAAGCCTCGAGACACGCCTCACACTCTCCACCTGAACAACCAGTTGTACAACATTCTCGTAGTAGAGCTAGGAAACTTACCCTCAAACACGTTATCAGCGCAGACATCAGCACAGTAGTAGGGATGGTGCTCGCACTCGTCTCGGCAGGAGGCCGTCTGCTGGGAAATAAAACGTTGCCAACGAAGGAACGTACTTTTTTCTCGCTGGGTTGGAGTTCTCCTGTACAGTAGTGCACACTGCACTTGTCGCAAGGCATGATGCTTTTTTCCATTGATGCAAGCCACTCGGAGCCACCGATGCTGGCAGCAGCACTCTGCAACTGACGATGTTCACCAGAATGACTGACATTAAGGAGATTCCACAACAGACGACCAACGCCCAAGTTACCCCAACCGGCGACTAGAGGCTCCAGGATTGAGGCTACACACACTAGGGTACGTATCAAGGGTCAGAGGGGAAGGGCACGCGGCCGACCTGATGAGTGAATACCCGACAACGCCACAGAAGGTCATACTTATCGCTTGGGGTGGCAGTAGCACAAGAGGCTACACACACTGGCGTGTCCGGAGTTTGTCTCGACCAAGGCACGCTATCAGCGCATTGCAGTGCTGCACTTCCTGTTAAGCCCTCAGAGAAACCCTGAAATAGAGATGACCATCTGGAACGATGGCCATCCTCACAGTGGCGAGAGTGAGATGGCCGAGCGTCTGGTCAAGACACATAGGGGTCACGATAACGCTTCGCCGGTCTTCATACTGCCACTCGACGACTCCTCTCGTACTAGGGTCGCCAACCTGAGGGAGATTCCTGAACGGTGCATCGACACTTGGAGGCTCACTTGACATGTGTAGAACTTTCCCTTGAAGTAGGACAGACCAAACAGACCAAAGATCAAGAAGAAGAGTCCTCCCACGATGAGGAGGTTGCAGAGCTCCGGTAAGATTCGGAACAGCGTGTTAACCACCAAACGCAGGTTCGGATTCCGAGATATGACCCTCAGGGCCTCAGGCACGTAGCATTCTCAATGTCTTGAGCACAGAGACATCGGGTAGCATCGGCA